TAGTTCTCTAAGAAAGTTGAACCTAAGCTCACTAGGTTATGTGCTCCTACAATTTTTTTTTTTTTTTCATTCCTGATATTTTCGCAGTTTGTTTTGGTAAAATAAAATTAGTAATACGACTTCCTTTCGAAAAAATCAGGGGCAGTTGTGTTCATATATAATTTAAAATCAATCGCCCGATTGCCTAGCCCCTTGTTCTCCTTTCAGTTCTATTACCATTATTTACTATCATTACAAATGATATTGAATCTTGCCAACATCATTGTCGATATCAACGTCATCGTTTTTACATTAACAGAATTATTATTATTTTTCATTATTAATTCATTTTTAATCACAGAATCCAGTACATTACACCCAATACGCACAATATCTGCAGTTAAAGATTCCGTCGTGTCGTCTTCAGTGGTCAGAGACATGCCCCCAACTGAGGCCCGTCCTAGGGCTATAACTACATCTCCGCCAACAACGTCAGAAAACCAGGAAACGGGTACGTACACGTTTGTGTGCATATTTTGAGTTACATTTTTATGTAACTAATGGGGATCATTCACTGAACAACTTTAATTCTATAATCCCTCGCTTCTGTCTTAGATTTGACATCTTTTTTTTTCTATCCGATACGAACAATTTCGATATTTCGTTTTAGTTGCTTTCGCTGGCTTTTTTTTTTTTTGGTTTGGCTGTGTTTTTAGCTGTATTTTATGCTTTGTTTTGTTTTGTTTTGTTTTGTTTTTGCCTTTTTTTTTTGTCTTATGCTTCAAGTTGCAAGACTATATAGCACACTTGACTTGCCTTTCAGTGTTTGCAGTTGAAATGCGTATAGAGAAGATATGGAATGAACACCTAAAGGATATGACTAGTTCGGCATTTAACGAATTAGCCTCCGTCATTGAAACTGAGGTGAGAATTGACCAATTGATCAGAAGTGCTGTGCGTCTTTTTTTTTTTTTTATACGATTTTGTAATTCACTTCCTTACCTTAAGCAATTTCGGCATGTTCCCGATAGGTTTCCATTAAGTTCTCTAATCCCAGCCTACTGTATCCGAATTCGTGATCCATTATGTCAGGGTTTTTCTTTTCTATTCTTTCCCACCTTATTTCTTTTATTTTTTTTTTTTTATCTTTTTTTCTCGGTCCTACCTGGCTTGAGAGAAAATGGAATAATCCCAATATCATTTCCCGAAAAATAAAATAAACAAAAAGAAATACTGTTACACCGCAATATCAAAATAGGACATTATAATTGTTGATTGGCTAAATGCAAGTTCTCATCTCAGATCTTTTTATTGGAAATCACAGGTAAAGAAACAGTATTCTGGTGTCATAAGCTTTATTGGAGTAAAAATTATAGCATTCAGGTAGGTAAGGTTGAAAGTGATGTCGGTAATTTAACAAGGCGCTTTGTTGCTCGTAATAATTATTGACACATTCTATTGCACCTTTTTGGATCTAGGCCTGGAAGTATTGTTGCTGAATTTAAGCTGCTATTCAACCAGAAAGTGTCAGATGACACAGCAGTAGCTCCTTTGAAAAAGGCCGTAAAGAACGGCAACCTTGGTCCATTGATTGTCAACCCTGATTCCGTAAAACTAATGAAGGAAGATTAAGGTAATTTGTCAGTAACCTTTAAGGAACAGTAGTAGCAGTAAATAGTAGTCTTATAGTAGCATTTACAAGACCACCAGCAAGGACTGATGCAAATGCAGTCACAGAAGCATTAGCACTAGCAATAACATTGGCAGCATCAGTGCAGTAGCAGGAATCACAACAGCAGTAGTAGTAGATGTAGCAGCAGATGTAGCAGCAGAGGTAGCAGTGTATGGACTTGCAATAATATTAGCATTATCAACAGTATTATAAATAGTGGTGACAGTAGCAGTAATATTACACCTTTCCTTTGCACTTTCTTTAGATCCAACGAATGATGTAAAAGAAAAGCTTCCTTATCCAATCATCATTGGTGCTTCCTGTGGCGGGATTTTTGTCATCGTGCTCGTCAGCATTTGTCTCGTCCGCCACTGCCAGCGTCAAAAGAGACTTCACCGCCGGCGCTTTTCAAGCGGTATGCCTTCTGAAGTTCCTTTTCCTAATCAGGACAAATACGAGCTAGAAGAAACGCGTTCTAAGGAGGATATAGTCAGCTACGAGGAGCAAGGTCTCTGGAAAGAGGCTGGTGATAACGAGAAGTTCAATGGAGGAGCTCGTTACCCAGAAGTAGGCATCGCCAATATGGCTTCTGAAAACAGAGATATAGGCAAGGCGAATGATTCAGGCTACCATCAAAGAATTGAAATGGCACGCGACCCCGAGCGCTACCAGCAGTTTGGCATCGTTAAGAAAGCTGGAAAATATCGAAGGACACAAGAGGCTTATTTTAAAACTCGCTTTTGTACGCGCATTTTAAAATCGCCTTTTACGAGGCAGACAAGCCTTTTTTAAAAATTTTCTTTTTTCATCGTAGCCCTTGAAATGTCACAAGAACTAGGTTTAATATGTATTGCTGCTATATTTGAAGTGCAATTACCGGTTTTATTTGATCTTTCAGTCGGCAATTCAAAGCTTTCCATCTTTGTATAACTCATTTTCAGGGGAACATCCTTTGGTTTATGTAGCTGAGCAGCAAAAAAAAAAAAAAAAAAAAAAAAAAAAAAAAAAAAAAAAGACGTGAAAAATGTAGCGGAGTCTATTTTTCTGTTTTTAACAACCCTGCCATATAAGTGTCTACTTTTGTTTCTAAAACGTAGAGTAGGTATAAGAAGGAACCATTGTATCCTTTCTAACACTGCAAAGACTTTGGGAGGCTGTAAATACACCTGTTCCTTTTCGACGGTTAGGGCAATTTCCGCTTCGTAGGTTTGATCATGCTGAAGATAATTATTATGAAAAACTGCTCGAAGCATGGCTGAGTCAGTCGGAAGTGGCTGCGTTAAATGATGAGCTCAGCATTCCACACATCTTTAGCCAACAATTATTATGCAAACAGTATAGAACGCTAATCGTATAACCTTTCAGTCATTAAACCTTCGCGTTTTGAAGACTGTTTTTATTCTGATTAAAATGGCACATTCTGTTACTGTGCTCGTATGTATTGTGCTCGTATGAAAGTAGATTTACATCACCATTGAGTATATAAAGGAAATGACCTCACAGTGGTAGCGATATGTAGCGCAATACACAAAACACAACACAATAGGCTTAAAAGTTGCCATAACTGGTCTCAAACACTATCACTTAAAATGTATAAAAAAAACATGTTCCGTTGCAGAGCGTTTGAAGGCGTTTGGTCAGAGCTGTTGAACAAGGATCAGAATATATATGAAATATACATTTACTTTTAGTAAAAGGAAAAGGAAACGGCCTAACTTTTACGGAATGTTCAGTTAAAATCTGTCAATTTCTGCCGCCTTCGACGCCACACTTAAAATAACGCTACCACAATGGAAAGCAATAGGAGTGTACACACTGCCTGGATTTTATTGCACCAGCTGTTGCGGAGCTAGCAAAAGCTCAAAATATCCAAACGATGAGGAAGGCGACCTCTGGGACAAATTTGACCCGTTTCCAGGGCGACCGTTTCGTAACAGCCGCCGAGCGTGCACAAGGAGTTCTTGCCGCGGGTTCGAATGGCTTCAAACTGACACGTCATTTGCAATTCTCGCTGGATTGATTCCTCGACGGCAAAACTTTTTATGGAATATTTTTCGAATAAACGGTCTTGAAGCAGTCAGAGTTAATTTGCTTTATTTTTTACGGAGTTAAAGAGCGGAGCCGAAACACCCTATAAAAAGCTCTATAATATTATCCTCTCATAGAAACCGTGTAATATTGTAATATTGTCCTCTCATCGAGAGCTTAGGCTGTTTATTGCTTTGCGGCTTCAGGAGGCGATATGATCTTCTGGTGTGGCGCGAGTTGTTTACGAACCTTTATGAGCTAAAATCTCGCATTTAATTTTTCGGGAAATACAACCTCTTTGAGCGAATTTATAGGGTATTTAGATTCCACTGATCTTCGTCAAATTTTTTCCAAACATTCCAAGAATGATGCCAAACAAAACTACGTCAGTAAATGTTGATATTTTAAAATTTTGACCCGTGGCGTTTATTTATGCGAAACACCTCGCATATTCTTAGCTACTCCAAATTTAGATGCTGCCCGTATCTAGACAAACGATCAGAATATCGAAAAAGCCTGCCTCGTGAATAAGACTGATAAATTCATTGATAGAACCCTCGGTCGTTTCACGCCTTATCGGATCCTGATACTTCCTAAGAGGAAAACTCGTCTAAATAATTTTTTTTCGTAAACAACAGTTATCAAGCTTCCTTCTGATGTATAGTTCGCAAGGATTTTAGTGAAACTAGGAACATTTGAAATGTAAATACGTTTCGTGTCATAGTTGTAGTTGATTTTAGAAATGCTTCTTAGACTTCATCTGTATTGACAGTATTGCTGAAGACTGCAGACTCGAGCTCAAAGGTGACAAGCACAATTGGCAACGTAGTCATTTTCAGTATCGGTTTCTAAAACATCACGGAAGAAACAAGCTAAAAATCAGTAACTGCTCAACATCAACACATAGCCTGTTTGATTATTCTTAATGATTGTATACAATCTCAAAATGCACCGCCTTAAAAAGTGAAAGAGAGCTTTATATTATTATCAGGGCGTAGAGATCTTTCCGAATGCATTATACATGATGGGCTAATTTTGGAATTTACGTAAAATTCAACCAATCGAATCGTTCGTTCGTCTGAATAGCCTTGAAATAGTTTGTCATGAATATCTCAGTATAGACTGCAAGGAAGGAATCGTGTAGTAGATAAAAATTCCCAGAAAAGGTATTCAGTACTCTGGCTTTTAAATGTTTTTCACTAGCTCGCTACTCCTAAATGTGCTGGTGCATGTTACGTTCGAGAGATCGGCAGCTCAGTCTGATTGGAACAATTGCTGTGCTGAAGGAAATTATAAAGCGATTGATGAACCTCGGCGAAGCATCAGAAGTATATGGAAAAGGGGACAAAAAGCACTGTGCGATATACATCTGCCCTGGGGCTGGTACCGCTTTACAAGTTAAACGGGTGGTGAGATGCCTACCTCAGTTGTCAGTCCAAATCACTGAGGCACGGTAGCTCCAGTTTGGATACAAGGAACGATTCCCTCAGAGCAAGATGGCACGGTGAAGCGTAAAGCATGCATAAACTTTTTTGGTTTAAAAAATGGTTGTGCGCAATCGTTGAACATAAAAGTCAGGAACTGCAGCTCATACTACGTCTACTTCCTAAGACCAACTTACTCATGTGCCATTGCCTACTGCGCTGGTAAGACACTTCTATTTCTCACTTTGTGCACAAAGCTAGAATCAATAGCAAACCAGGTGATTTTTTTGTTCCTTTCGCAGCTCGCATTAAGTTCGGATTTGGTTTATTTTTAAAAGAAGTAAGTTCAACTAGGTCGATTTATTCTTTTCTTTTTTTCTCAACGCTATATAGAACTTAAATTCGATGCGATAAGTGAGCTTACTGCGTTTCTGTGGGGAATATAAAGCGGGAAGGTCAAAATTCAACAAGTTTGATACTGGTCTTAGGAAAGTTCTTCCTGTATGAAAAAAAAAATATAGCTTTCTACATGGTAATGTGATGGTGAAGTACTTCGCAGCTCCCAGTCACGAATTTATTTTTGACTTTTAGGACAGAAGTTAAACATTTGGCTAATGTTCTGGACAATAGATAATTAGATAGCATAGCTACATGCATTGACATACACTGTAGGAATGAATAAGTGAAAACCAATTTGATGTCTTTCCTTATTATCTTGAAGGTACCAAAGAACCCTGTCCTTATGGAAAAGTTGGAGAGCCAGATAACTGTGTTGGTATGTTCTTATGATTTTGTTTTCATCAGTGCTGTTTTTACTTTTGATGTCCGCCACTGTGTATAATGGTGATGATATTGATACATACGGAGCCTTCTACATCTAAGGGTGGAATCAACCAGTTGTCAACCCAATAATGGGAGGCTAAGCTGCTTGGCTAAGAATGATTCCTGCTCTTCCTTTCTTTATAGAAGTTTGGCATTCAGTAAGATATGGGATTTACAATTGATGCACAAAAAGAGAAGCAACCTCTGTCTTTAAAATCGCAAGAACTATCGGTAGCACGACTATATTTTTGTTTCAAGAAATACAGGCAGAAAGCAAGAAGTTATTCCGATTGTACAGTATAGCCAATAAGGGACAGCACTTTCAAAAATGATTTCACCAACATTGTAAAAGAAAAGCGCCAACAGTTGAAATATACATTGCAATGAAAAGAATTCCCGCACTCAGCAAACATTATAAATCTGCACAAGTGAAACAAAATACACCCGCAATGCAAACGAAAGTAAATGTATCGCACTGCAAACAAAACAACTTTCCACACTGCAAATAAATGAAGTATTTTACCCACTCCAAACTAAAAAAAATACACACTGCAAACAAAATAAAACTGCACGCTGCAAGCAAAAACAAAATATTATGCGTGCGCAAGTTGGCGCGAAGTACTGCGAATTTGCGAGAAGGACTGAAAATTGGCGCGTTTTTTCGATTGGGAAATATGGCGTCTCGAGACCAAAACCTTAGTAGCTCGTTGGACGAATCCACTGGTGAAGTAAGGAGACGCGAGGAACTAGTTCGTGGATCTGAAAGAGATGTAATTGAACATTACTTTTATAAGGGTCTTCCCTACAGACAAATAGTTTTGATATTGGAAAAACACCATAATATATGTATCAATCAACGAACTCTTAAGCGAAGGCTTAAATACTTTAGGCTTACGAGTCGTGAAACGGTTGACGAGGAACTCAATTTATTTACTTATATTGCGCATATTACAAATGCAAAGGAATCATTCTATTATTTTACCCACTCCAAACTCAAGGAACGTGTAAAGGACATAATTTTGCAAGAAATATGTACCAACAAAGCTAAACCTTCTACATTGTTGGTTTGCATGTAACGTCATGGCGGCAATGTTAAACCCTATTTTCATGTATATTCTTCGAGAAAAAATTATTTTGTATTGACCACCACGCAACACCAATTTGGCCGCCTTGTCACGTGGTTGCAAGCTAAGAATGCTCTCGAGATGCTACGAAGCAAGTAGACTTTCAGCAATGTGTTGTACGTTAATAAATCAGTGGCCTGTAACAGAAGAAAGACCCTCGTAGTTATGTAGACAACTCAAGCAGCAGTCATTCTAGCGCGGAATTCTCGCATTTTAGACTTAGCGTTGATTTCCAATGCCGCATAATTGTTACGTGAGTACGTCCGTAGAATTTACGTTCGCAAATAAAAGAAAAAAGTGCATGAAAGATCCCTCGTAAGCGTTAAAGCTGATCCTGCTCAATTTCTTGTTTAAGTTTAGCACTTTTATCTTGTCTCTATTTCATTTACGTGATTAAAATTTACGTGCGTTAACGTGCGTAGCCAAATACGCGAAGGGTGATTTCCACTAACGCGTTTTTGGCTGCGCACGTTAACGGTTGTAAATTTTAATCGCGTAAATAAAATAGTTTGAGACAAGATAAAAAGTACTGAGCTTAAACGAGAAGTTGAGCGAGGTTCAACTTTTACGCTTACAAGCGACCTTTCATGTATTGTCTCTACTTTATTTGCGAACGTAAATTTTACGCACGTAAAAACTACGCGACACGAGAAATCAACTCTAAAACCACACCAATTAAGTTCTGTAAATGACTGCAAGGGTCTTCTTTTTCTGCTTATATCTTAATTATGAGTTCAAATTTCCTGGGTTGGGGAGAGGGGATAAACTCCGATAAATTTCAGATAGGTGTGTGCCACATAGACCCTCTTTAAGAATGGGAAAAACTGAAATTGACACCCTATTGAAGGCCCAAACTAGAGAGAAGACCCCCCTTTTCAAGAGAACAAAGGATAGGAATTTAATCAAAACAACAAGACTTTATTAAATTTCATATCTTAGTAATACCACAAACTCAGACGAAATGAAAAATGCTGAAGGGGCTTTGTCGTACGGCATCACACCTTCTTG